GTGGTCGGTTGGGGGTTGGCTGCCCCCCGCCATTCCTCGCTTGAGGAGATCGGATGGAAGGCCCTGCTCGACAAAATTCCAGCTTTTGTAAACAGAGGAGGACATTTCCATAGTGTACTTGGAAGGAAAAATGATGAACTCGAGTAGGCCGCCGGCATTGATGAGGCTTTGTCGAGCGAGAGCGTTTATGTTCATGGTGTCGCGGTAGTGTGGCAAAAGGAGCTTATTGATGGGGTGCATCGCGCTCAGGTGGCGGTTTGTGGCGATCACGAAGGGTTCCATCACTGCGTGAGTGCGCAGCCTGCCACGAAGGATTCTAGCTACAATGTAAACAATTCTTAAACTTATGTTTGATTATTTGATGAACAAATACCAGTGGCTAATAAGCTGATGAACGCAGGAGTCATTGATGATGACATAGGCTTTGGCAAGCGACCAAATTGAGCCTTCAACACCGGAAGTCATGGGCGTGTATACAGTGCTTATGGCGCCAAAAGTATCGCCACCTGGATGGGGGAGGCTAAGCTCAATAGCGAGGGGTTTCAGGGTGCTGTCATTGTTGAGGAAGAGCAGCGTTCGGGTGGCGTAGACCTTTCGATCGGTGGCATTGATTCGTCTTACAAATGGCATGATGGTGTCGTGATGATCGAGGATAAAGAGATGTTAGGAGTTATGATAGGAAATAATTTATTCTTATAAATAAATTATTTCCTTAGAATTAGAGTTATGTTAGGAAATAATTTATTCTTGTAAATAAATTATTTCCTTAGAATTAGAGTTATGTTAGGAAATAATTTATTCTTGTAAATAAATTATTTCCTTAGAATTAATGAGATATTTATTTCCCTATTTTATGTTGTTTCCTATATCTCCTAATAATTAATGCGAATTAATTATTGGAGATACTAAGTGTTATACCCTTCCTTTCATATCATTTACCTTTTATTATTTTTCCTATTACAAGATTATTGTAAGGGTTATTTATAACCACATTCATATCAATGAAAATGTGTGTATTCCACCACATTATTCTGAGTTTTAACAAAAACCATTAAACGTCTATTCAGATATAATAATCATTGTCTGAAAAAGAAAAAGAAAAAGAAAAAGAAAAAAAAATTGAAAAAAGAGGAGAAGCTTGAGGATTAGTGCATAATCAAAAATTGATTTTGCATTTGATCTTTTTAAAGTATAAGACTTGAGAAACACTTAAGTTTAAGGATATAATATAATGAGTAAAATTATGCTAAATAAAAATTTTTAAGTGGGGAAAGTAAAATACCTAAACTCTTTATTTGGAAAATCTACAATATTTTTGAATTAGATAAAAAACTCATATTTTCATATTTCTTAACATTAAAAATTTCTAAACTCTAAGTTGTTCTCATTTATTAAAATTTTTTCTAAATTCGACTACTACATTTCTACATCAAAATTTTGTTAACTCCTAAAGAAACTCATATACATTATCTACTGATGTTGGTTTTTAAAGATTGAAAGGTCACTGAGGACAAGTAACATCTTAAGTTTGGGAGATTTTGATACACCTAAAATATATAGTGTTTTAATATACATTTTTATACATATTTTTGAGATATTGCGCTTTAATGAAAGATATTTTTGTGTTTTTCTTGTAGGTACAATCAAATGAATGAAAAATGCTAAAAGGAGTGAAAATGGTCAAATTTGGAGGAAAAATGAAGAAATGTGCAAAAATGAACTGGGGAGCTTAAGCGCCAGATGTACCCCGCGCTTAAACGCCAAAAGTAGTTACTTGATGATTATTTAATTGGAGCGGACTTTTGAAGAGGTGTTTGAAGCAACCCTTGATAAAAAAACGTGGGAAATAGCCCATGGACACGAAAATTCATTCAATTGGCTTTTGAGGAGTCAACTTCTAGAAGATTCGTTAAATAAAGACACATTTTGAAGGGAAACCAAGGCGCCTTTTGGATTTTTATTAAAAGAAAACTTGGATCATCAAGATAAGAGTCCATCCACCCATAAAATTTACATCCATCATTCATTCAAGTACGTCGCCGCCGCCGACCACATTCTTTTTATTTTATTTTCAGTGTTTAGTTTGCATTGTGAGTGAATGAAGAGAATTCAAAGGAATTTCAAGACATTTTGTGGAGAGGATTTAAGATAAGTGTTTATCTTTCTGACTACACCTGACTACACTTGATTTGACTACACTTGATTTTAATTTAGATTTCTTTTTTGTGCGGATGATTTCTACTTTTAAACTCATGTGTGACTGTGTTTTTTTCATAGATTCTGAGTAGTTTTTTTATGTTTTTTTCCTTAAAATGATAAGTGATTATGTGTCGAAAGGATGTTGTGTGAAGTATTAGACTTCAATGTTGGAAGAATTTGTGATGATTTGAAATCTTGCACTTAATTTACTTCTTGATTTGACTAATGAAGATGTTAATACATGCTGTGATAACATGTAAGATCCGAGATCGTATTATTTCAGTCAAAAAATGGTTTAGAATCACATATTGATTTCATGGATAAGAATGTAGTTCATGGGGTTGAGTGCAAATAAATAGGGAAATAAACTTTTCAATGGTGTAGAATTAGAGGACTTTAGAGTGACAGGCTAAAACCCCCAATTTGATTTATAGTTTTATAGGCTTTTGATGCGAGATGTTAGCCTCCAGGTGGAGGGAGAAGAGTGAACTCTAGAGTGAGGGCTAGTATCTTTCCTACCTAACCGATCTTCAAAACTATTCAAATTATAGATTAGTCAATGTTCTTTATAGCATCTCTACTAAGGGTAAAGAATATTCTTGCCTTGCTCCTATTTGGCACATTTAGAATACTTTCACAACATAATTTCTCTACTTATTACTTATTCATGATAAGGAAAAAAGTATTCATGATAAGGAATATTACTTATTCATGATAAGGAAAAAAGATATTTTACTTATATTGTCGTTATCTTGCAAGTATTTAGTTAAGTTAATTAGTTGCTTACTTTATTTTCATAAACCAAAAATTACAAAAAAAATCAAATTTGTATTCCCATTTTAACATCTTATGTTTAAGTAAGAATATTTTGCTAATTAGATTTTTGTCATTTAAAATTTCTAAACTTTCTAGTTTTCTAAAGTGCATATTGCTAATCTCCCTGTGGGTTTGATATTCGGGGCTTAATAAAAAAATTACATATTACTTGAAAACGATATATATACTTGTGTAGTATCCCATATTTAAATATTATAATTGAATTCTTATTTGTTTAATAGTGGAAAACTTATTTAGCTTTTGCTAGGGATCAAGTTTTTTACTTTGTGGCAAATTAAGAATAACTATTAAGGAAATTAAGCATATAATCACATACATCGCATTTTATATCTCTATAAAAAGTCGGAATCACAAACCAAAAGCAAAAATATACTTATCTCTCTCCCCCAATTTTCCCTCAGAATGCTTCACCCAAGCCCTTTGCCTTCTCCTGTAACTCTTTGCACAGCACCAAATAGAAATCACACTGTTCATAACCTAGAATTTCTTAGAAAAGCCTAAGAACTCTCACAATAGTGGAGAAAAATCTCTCTCAAGACTCCCTTTCTAACCCAATTGTTGCTCCAGAGTTCTGGCTTCTGCCCCCTTTCATATCTTTTCCTAATATTTGTTATACTAGTAAGAAAAACATAAAAATACATTTCTTTAAAGTGAAGTTTCATTCAAAAAGATGTGAAAAACAAAAAAAAAAAATCTTGCAATGTTTTCACACATCAGATATTCCGACCAGCTAAAGATTAAATCCAAGCTTTAGATAGCCTTAACTACCTAAGAAATCAAGTAGTTTTTCATAATATTTTTTCCATGTGGAAATCTCCAATTATCCAATTTCATGACAACATAAAAATAGCCCTCCTCCTTCACTAGCTCATCTGTTGCTAACTCAATCATTAGTTGATTGCTTATTATTGGTCCCTTGAAGATCTGAAGCTAACTTAATCTTAAAATACTCCAATACAAAAGGAAGAAAGGAAGATAGATTTAAATCCTTAAACTCTTGCTCCTTTACTTCCACCATAGAAAAAGGCGGTATAAGTGATGACATAATTGGTGACTTATTGTGCATCACAAATATTGTATAAATTTCCTATGACTTAGCGACAAATAATTAATATTTTAATATTTAACAGTATTATGATCCTGACTCTTTATATGCAATCGTATAATAATGACTTTTGATAATATTTTTCACTTTTGTTTCCTTACTTTGCAACAAAATAAAAAATTTGATCGTGGAGAAAATAAGAATTTGACTATTTATTTATATATATATTGGGATACTATGCAAGTATATGTACCGTTATCAAGTAATATAGGACTTTTTAATTAAGACATGAATATTAAACCCACATGAAAAATTAGCAATATGCACTATTGAATAACAAACTTTCTATTTTAAAAAGACAATTACTTAAACTATAGATATTTTTATAGTAATTAAAATTTAAATCTTTTAGGTATTTTGATATTTTGACAAAGCAGTAATAACTTTTAAAGATAACTTGTGTTATGTAAATAAAAACACTAAATATGAAAATATCTTTCTCCTTATCATGAATTAGTAATAAGTATGAGAATTCTGTTGTGGAAGTATGCAGATTGTGTTGTGTCAAATATGAGCAATAATATTCTTTACCCTTACTAGAGATATTATAAAGAACATTGACTAATTTAAAGTTTGAATAGTTTTGAAGACTGGCTAGACAGGAAAGATATCAGCTCTCACTACAGAGTTCCCTCAATTCCCTCCACTTGGGGGCTAACATCTCGTATCACTTTAACAATAAACCAAGTTGGGGGCATTAACCTGTCACTTTAAAGTCCTCTAACTCTACACTCTTCAAAGATTATTTTCTTATTTATTTGCACTAAATCATATGAATTACATTCTCATTCATACAACCTCATGTGATTTTTTCCAATTGTTGACTGAGACAATACCAACCCGGTTCTTACATGTTCTCGCAATAAATTTTAACAATTAGATAGGACAGATCTAGAACTAAATGAAGTACATGGATTTAAATCATCACAGCTTCTTCCAACATTAAAGATTAATACACTCCACAACTTCCATCCAACAATGTAATTACTTATCATTTTAATGAGAAATATAAAGAAAACTACTCAGAATCTATGGAAAAAACAAAACCACACTTTAGTTTAAAAATAGAAATCATTGTCAAACCAATAAGAAGTCTCGATTAAAACCAAAAGTAGATCAAAATAAAAGATAAAAAAACTTATCTCAAATCCTATACCAAACTCTTGAAATTTCTTTGAATCTCTTCTCTTTTACAACACTCTTGACTCTCAAAATAAAACTAAATACAAAAAGGTAAAGTAAATTTGTGGTGCATGAAAATATCTCCAAATGTTTCTCTCAAAACTCCCCCTTTTTAGCACTTTTCACGACTCTTCAAAAAGTTTCAACTTTCTTCTTTTATAAATCTCCAAGAGGAGCCATGGTAACTCTTCAAAATATGTCCAAATTCGATGTATTCTCCAAAGGATGCTTCCTTTCACTTTCGTTTCTAGTGGTCATAACCACCATCTTTAGCCAATAGGTGTCAGAAATGTCCCTTCAAAATTCTGCAAAATGAAGTAAATCATCACAT